AAATTCAGAAATAAATATAAGAAGGTAGGTCTAGAACAGTGAATACTGATTTATAGTTTGAAGCAAATGATATTTTTCTTTTTCAAAATTAAAATATTCACGTGTCATCCTGGCTAATGGTCACAATTTTTGCTAAGAAAAATTTCTGCAGTTTTATTTTTTAGCAATATTATCACCGTATAAAATGGCAAGTATTTATTCAACAGATAATATAATTTCCCGGATAACGGAATCAGAAATAAATTGTGATAAACACTTTTAAAGCAAATTTACGCATTGGGAAAAAGAATGGATGATCTTTATTATCGCTTAGAGAAGTGTGAAAGGGTCTTCACCAAAGTGGATCCATGCAGGTTTAATACAAGAGATAATATAAATCTTGAATCACCAAAATACCAATTCATTCAAAAAATATATCAGGGCTCAGCTTTACAAATACTGTATTATAGAGCTAAATGTTATTATCTAATTGCCAAAATAATGCAAAATGTTTGTAAAAAGTCTGGATATGACAATTTTTTATATATAAAGTGTTCACTTATTTATTGCATTATACAGACATCTATGTATACTAATCCACAGATCGAATTTTTTTTTCTTGGCAAAAAACCGTTTCTATGGAAGTCCCTCATATTAAATGTAGCCGTCTGCAAGTATCTCAAGTCCGAAGTGAGCCTCGCAACTCTATCTCTTATCCGAATGTTAAATTTAAAAATCCGGTTGCAACACCAAGGAGGTCGAAACCACACAAGGCTTTACATGCCCACGGAATACTGGTTTGTGATTAAAGTAAATATTAATTTAGGGGGAAGTCGAAACCACAGCATAAGTATCATGTACAGTATTTTAGTATATGCAGATAATTTTGGTGATAAAAAAATTTCAACCAATCACCAAATAATCAAGATGGAACTCCCTGAAGTTAAATCATATTCCACCAATCAATCCAAAAAAAATTTGCGCGTTTTGAAATTTCAATCCACGTGAGCTGATTTATTTAAATTGGATACAAGAGACACAACTTCTAAACCTAACTTTCAAACTTAACCTCATCAATTTACAAGAATGTCTGAAGTAACATCTTTAAAAGCAAAGTATGCTGCAGCTGGTCAAGAACACCTTTTTACTTTCTACGACGAACTAGGCCCAGAAGAACAGACTTCACTTTTAAATCAGCTTTCTAAACTCGATATTGAACGCGTCAACCGAATCTTCAAGAAATCAACTTCGTGTTTAGACATTGTTTCTGATGCTGAACAGCAAAAATTGGAACCTTTACC